AGATACACGTAAATTTGTATACAAAGTTGGAGTTAACATGAGAAGGGTATCTATCGACTTTTGACTGCACCAAAGAGCATGTTGTTCGGTGGACGGGAACCAACTTAGCTGCAGGATAGGCTCTGGCTAGTGACGTCCTCAGTCTTCTGTTGACCATTTCTGCAATGTCTTCACCTATAAAGTCTAGTTGAATGAAGACAGGCTTTTTTTCGACTGTGATTTGTTTGGTATTTGGGCCTTCACATCTTCCATATTTGTTAATGAATTTTTGAGTATAGCCGTTGTTTTTCAGCACCTTTTCGAGATTCGTGAATTCTTCCTCTAGTTTCTCTGCAGAGCATATTCTCCTCGCTCTATAGTACAGAGTCTTGACTAGTGCTCGTTTATAGCTATTTGGACAAAAACTATTAAAATGTAAGTATTGTCCATTCCATGTGGGCTTTCGGTAGATTGACCTCTGGAGGCTACCATCTTCTAGGCGTTTTATGGCGACGTCAAGGAAATGGAACTGTCCATCATTTTCATGTTCCATAGTAAATACAATATTTGTATGTGCGTTGTTGAATAGTCTGAGTAGGTAGGAGGCATGACTTTCGTTGTTGCATACTACAAATGTGTCATCGACATATCGACAATAGGAAGTTGTTTGATCAATTGCATGCTTCAGCTTTGTTTTCTCAAGGTTTGACATAAAGATATCTGCTAAAACAGGGCTAAGTGGACTGCCCATAGCTACACCATCTATTTGTCGGTAAAGAGTGTTGTCAAACTGGAATTGTACACCCATGGTACACATCAGCAGTAGGCGTTTGAATTCCGGCTCTGGTAGTGGGAGAAGATCAGACTGTTGACAAATTATCTCAATGGTTTCATTGATTGGGATCATTGTGAACAAGGAGGTTGCATCAAATGAAGCCATGAACTTATTTGAAACGTTCATGTGATTCACGCTTTCAGCAAAATGAAATGAGTCCTTTATGGTGTGCGCGGCCAGCCTTTGGCGAATGGGTTCCAACTTCTCCGCGAGCCAACGGGCAACCTTATGTTGGGGAGAGTTGATCATCGAAAGTATAGGTCTCAGAGGGACTTCTTTCTTGTGTGTCTTTGGAAGGCCATACATATATGGCAAGCGGGACCCTCGGGGTTTCAATTCATTGTACGTGTTGTTGTCAATCAATTTCTTCTTTAGAAGATCTCTCAATACGTTTGTGATGCGTTTTTCGGTTGCATCTGTCTTGTCTTTCTGGCAGTCGTCGACTTTGAACCTCAACGGATCATTGAGCACAGTTTTCATCCTTGCGACGTAGTCATCTTTATCCATCACTACCACTCCTGAGCCTTTGTCAGGTCGCAGTATGACAATTTTGTCATTATTTCTGAGAGCTTTCAATGCTTTTTGATGCTCTTCAGAGAGGACTTTTGAATATGACGTTGGTGAGATGAGGTATTGATTTGCAACGTCGGCCAGCTTAGATTTGAACCAGCTGTTCTTGTCTTCATCAACTGGAGTAAGATCATTCAGCTGATAGAATAGGTTTTCGAATTGAGCTGCGACGTCGGTTCTATTGACAAAGTTATTCGGGATATGGAAGTTAAATCCGAGGGAAAGCACTTCCATTTCTATGCGGCTTAAATTCAGACTCGACAGATTATATACAAAATCCTCAGGATTTTCTGGGAAGACTTCATATATTTTTTCCTTTGTCAGGGATTTCGTCAGGGTTTTATAAAAATTTTCACGGGTTTTCTGTTGAAGCTCTTGAATGAAATTGATGAATTTGATCTGGCAAACTATGTTCAAACTATTGACGACACCGTCAAAGGATCTGGCTTCATTTCTCAATTTTGCAATCAGAGATTCTGTTGATTCAATATGCGATTTCGTAATGCGTCGGAGGATTTTGAGAGAGGGTGGCAATTTGCAACTACGGAGTGACTTCATGAGATGCCGAGGAAAGCAGTGGGACTGCAAGCATTCATTGTAAAACTTTATTCGAGTAGCTTCTCTGGATATTCTGCAACGAATTGTCACCAAGCGATCAAGTGACTTGAAAGATTCCGCGGGGAGGCGATTTTTGAGAAACTTCATGCATTTATTCCCCTTGATAAATTTGAATAAAGCGAGAACAACATTGATTTGTGCAGAATAACATGGTACCATCATTTATTTCGTTGGCTTCTCGTCAGCTGCTTACAGCCTAAATAAATTTTCAGGTTTAAGTACAGAAACGTTTTAACGTACTTGCAAATTTTACGTGTTGACAGAAATTTTCACAACTAGTAAACAGTGCTCAGAAAATTGCGCTTATATAGTTTTTACATGGGCAGTTCAAGTTAAAAAATATTAAAAATAAATGTATGTATATAATGGTAAGGGATGTGCGTTGGATGCATAGTGACTAATAAGTTAGGTAACAATGTACTGAGTTGAACTCAAATCATAGAAACAAGAGACAAACAAAATTACAGATTATAAAAGGAGGGTGAGGTTAAAGACAAAATTACACAATCAGATGAGAGATGCAAAGTGACTAACAAGTTAGGTAACAATGTACTGAGTTGAACTCAAATCATAGAAACAAGAGACAAGCAAAATTACAGAATATAAAAGAGGGTGAGGTTAAAGACAAAGATTACGCAATCAGATGGGAGAAAAAAGACATCCAGTTACCAAGGCAAGGAAAGACTAATAACTGATTCTTTCTGAACACATAGATCTGGTTTCAAGCGTTTGATAGAAATTGCTTCGGCAAACTTGAGGAGAATGGAGCTCCTTTGTCTATTAATAATTTTGAAGGATTTCTCGATTTCCACCTCATGACCCGTGTCGAGGAGATGTCTGGTAATAGCGCTGCTATAAGAGTTTGTTCCCTTGAGACGTAGGCTTTTCGGCACATGTTCAGAAAATCGGAGGTGTGCCCTTCTTTCTGTTCTCCCAATGTAACTGCTCCCGCAGATACACGTAAATTTGTATACAAAGTTGGAGTTAACATGAGAAGGGTATCTATCGACTTTTGACTGCACCAAAGAGCATGTTGTTCGGTGGACGGGAACCAACTTAGCTGCAGGATAGGCTCTGGCTAGTGACGTCCTCAGTCTTCTGTTGACCATTTCTGCAATGTCTTCACCTTTAAAGTCTAGTTGAATGAAGACAGGCTTTTTTTCGACTGTGATTTGTTTGGTATTTGGGCCTTCACATCTTCCATATTTGTTAATGAATTTTTGAGTATAGCCGTTGTTTTTCAGCACCTTTTCGAGATTCGTGAATTCTTCCTCTAGTTTCTCTGCAGAGCATATTCTCCTCGCTCTATAGTACAGAGTCTTGACTAGTGCTCGTTTATAGCTATTTGGACAAAAACTATTAAAATGTAAGTATTGTCCATTCCATGTGGGCTTTCGGTAGATTGACCTCTGGAGGCTACCATCTTCTAGGCGTTTTATGGCGACGTCAAGTAAATGGAACTTGTTATGTACTCGTCGCTGAGTTTATTGTTTTGGACTGGTCGAGAAACTAATGGTCCTGATGCGAGAAGGCGGAAATCAGAAGACCACTAGGTTTATGATGTTACTTCTATTGTCCAAACACAAGGAGACGAAAATAAATGGTCTCACACCAAAGTGGTAAGTAAGTAAAGTAGTTCACACAGAATGTGTGAACGAAATATATATATAACAAAATATATATATAGCAGACATGTCAAACAACCATATATGGATATATGTCACTAAGCAACGGACTGTCAACAAACACTCATATTATATGTAATATAATATAAGGAAAATACACATTATTAAAGGAGACAAGTTCATACAAGTGAAGTGGTCACAGACTAAGCGAGCAAACAGAAAGAGAGACCAACATACACACACACATAAATATATATATGTGGATACATATCACCTCCCCTGTTGAGAAGATGGATGATTAGTAGGATGTTTACCTGTGGGCTATTTACTAAGGAACATGAAAATGATGGACTGTTCCATTTCCTTGACGTCGCCATATAACGCCTAGAAGATGGTAGCCTCCAGAGGTCAATCTACCGAAAGCCCACATGGAATGGACAATACTTACATTTTAATAGTTTTTGTCCAAATAGCTATAAACGAGCACTAGTCAAGACTCTGTACTATAGAGCGAGGAGAATATGCTCTGCAGAGAAACTAGAGGAAGAATTCACGAATCTCGAAAAGGTGCTGAAAAACAACGGCTATACTCAAAAATTCATTAACAAATATGGAAGATGTGAAGGCCCAAATACCAAACAAATCACAGTCGAAAAAAAGCCTGTCTTCATTCAACTAGACTTTAAATAGACTTTAAATAAATGATGGTACCATGTTATTCTGCACAAATCAATGTTGTTCTCGCTTTATTCAAACAATCAGTTCCAATACAAGTAACCTAGAAAGTGTGAAAACACACAAAAACAACCAGTCACGTCCAAAGTCACCAGGAGGGATAATTGATAAACTCGTGGAGAAATGTAAAAGCTCACTTCAAATTGAAGTATGCGCTGAAGATGTCACCCAGTAGGGTGATGAAAGCTTCGCAAACTAACCATCCAGCTCAGAGAACAAAACCACATTAAGATGTGGTTATTACTGGTAATATTGAATGAGTTGAGATAAATGACATCTTATGACCAGGTTTTTAAGTAATTTCATTGTGAAATTAATAGAATTTACGTGTTGTCACTTTTCATAAGATAATTATGTTGTGAAAATGAAGTTATAAATGCACTCGTGGTGTTACATACCTTTTGAAAACTTTGGCATCATACAATATTCATATAATTTGTAGAACAATGCTTATGAATAACTCGTAGGAATACATATACGAGTATTCCCTTGAAAGTATATATATATATATATTCGTATATTTATCAGTGAAAGTTAATCCATGCATGCCTCTTTTCCTGTTCATAACACTGAACTGCAGGGGCTCTATATTTACCAGATTGCAAATGAACAAACACTTTAAGGTTTCAACCTTCAAGATATTTAATATTCAATAGACTAATATTTTCCACAGAATGTGACCAAAGAAAAACTTGAAGAGATTCAAATTTATAAATATTTATTTATCAGAAATTATTTCTCATTATCACGTTGTAAATATTAGTTGTAAATATTAGTGCACTTGTGCGTTTGAACATGATTCCCCAGAACTGTCAAAAGGAGCATACATTGCCGCAAACATTAAAAGCATTTCCAACCATAAACAGAATGCTCGAAATATGATTGTACAATATACATCTCTATATGAGATGCATAGACGTATTCTATTCACCGTCAAGAAAATAGCCTACAATGTAACAATCGTAATCGACATCAAATAATTTATCAGTTTCGGTCAAAGCAGTATTACTTATAGCAAATAACTACCTCATTCCTAAATATTAATAATATGTGATATCTGTCAGATTCATATTTGCAAGAAAAAGCTCAGCTGAACGCACACTTTTCAAAAAAAAGCGTTTTCCTAAATATTTAAGCTGATTCACACAAGACTGGATGATATATACCACAATATTTCATTCGATAAACGAATAATCAACTAGGCAAACGAGATAGATGTGCTTAGAATCTATCAAGTAACTACTAATATATTTTTCATCTAGTAGGCTGACAAACTTACTCTTCATTTGCTCAGTGTATTCGCTTTTGCAACCTACTTTTCTGTCTTATAGACAGATAGAATGAGCAGTTATGCCAACTGTGAGCAATGTGCTATTTGAAAGTATTCATTTTTAGAGCTTTCATAATAAAACAATCAAGTTATAAACATATTTTGAACTTAACTGTAAATGTGGAATATAAATGACATCTAAGTGAAGTGAACTCCACTGGAATCAAAATCTCGATTGTGCTTGTTAAATAGAAGATTGATTAGAGATTTTAAAATTTTTTATGAAAATATTAGGAAAAAACTTACTAACGCCATAGTGACAGTGAAGCAGGCCCCAATGGAAATCAGCAGTGCTTTCTGGAATCATGTAAGCAACATGAGGTAATTGATCAAAATATATCGACAGAAACATCACATTTTCAGATCTCCGGAACTGAAATTACTGAACAAACTTTAATACATAAGCATTGCTGGTAATTTCCCTAACTAGACATCTACAATTACTTTGTCATATCTTATTTTGTATAGTAAATCAACTCTACAATAAATCCGTAATGATTAGCGAGACAAGGTTGATGTGTTTTAAAAATTGTAATGAAACCAACTGTGTAGTTCCTTGTAAGGTGTCTGATAGAATACCATAAACTATAACAACACTGAGCTTCGAAATATCTCGGTTATTCCCTGTGACTACAGTCACAAAGTGTGAAGGTAATTTCAAAATATGCACACTTCAACAATAATAACAAAGAACAGAATAGTAATGCCATCATTTAACAGATTACGTTCACTGTTCTGACGATAATACCTCATAGTTCAGTATGCGTAACATTAGAATTACTTGACCTTCAGTGCCGAACAGCTTTATATTCATATCTTTTCAGTGTGACAGCCTCTCATAGACAATGATAACGTCATAAATCAATTCAAGAGTTTCAGAAGCTATGATGCAATTCAGTAATTTTACTGTAACCTGTTTGTCTTCACGTTCAATGAAAGTATCACAAACCAAGTCAAAAATTTTAAATTTCTATATTAATATATTATCACACATGTTGAGCATTACCTGTTTTGTTTCTTTTAAATTGAATTCAATAATAAACAAAATAAGTCCAATCAGGAACGAAGAACATAAAAGTGAGAAAAGTATAATGGTTGACTGAAATTGTATATTTCTCAGGTATAGAGCCAGGAAGATCACAACTGCAGTCAATGCAAACATCGAACCAGCTGCCGCCAAAGAAGGTACCAAATCAATAGTATGGAACCTGGTAGTGAAACCCATCGAACATAGTAAGAACTAAAATGAAAGAAAATGTAGCTTTGGTAGATTATAATAATGAAGTGTATAGCAGTAGGAGATAGATTTGTTGATTACCGGGTCCTATTGTGACATTTTATTATAATGTTTGAGTTTTACTTAGGAGTCTTTTATTTACATCCTTGACTTCTCGTTGTCGACATTAAACTACTTAACTTTACATGACTCCGATAATAAATTAGCAAAGGTTTCATCATTTCAATTACTGAAATTATCTAGCAGAACCTGCCTGCTCCTAGATGTATAAACAACTCTAGATGTAAACATAAGAAATTATAATGATACCTTGACGTCGGAAATATTTTTCAGCAGTGAACGTTATTTCTCTGAAGATGTCTTCAATAAAATCTAACACAGTCTATCTTCCTGTTTGTCTGCTTTGCAAAATCGGTGAAGTGGATTTTGATATTTCCTTGGTGTTCAAGTAAGATCGACATTGAAACATGCATATCCGTTTCGCAAGACACTATGCAGTACGATAATTGTACTGTCATTTGTTGATTTATTCTCCTTAAGTGCAAGGCAAAGCTGTTGCACGCACACAAGTTTAAGAAGTGTGAGATTTAGTTCCGAATACCGGTAGGTGCGGACTGCTGAAAAGTCCCGAACTAGGACGAAAAAGCTGTCCAGTACTCCCAGGTTTTCCAATGGTTCTCTAACTAATGTCAGCTCATGATGAAATCCGGTAAACCAATCAAATCCCTAAAAACCACAACTTGAATATTAGTTCCGATTATTTGGGAATCTATTGAAACAACACTAAAGTACGTCTCACTTTTCATAGCTGACAGCTAACGGAAAATATAGTTGGAAAAGGTGTACGATGAGAAGACGACTAACGATGGAAATATTGTTGTCTAAGTGCGCAAACAACAAAGAATTCATGTGTTTGAAATTCACTTCTATAATATGACGTTCTTGGATTCACATAGATGCGTGATATATATGTCGTCCTGAAATTTTTATATAAACATCGACAAGTGCACACTTATTTGCTTCATTTCGTCATATGTGTGTCAGTTGTATTTTTTTAGTTGTGGTGATGACTGCATCCCTTATCATCTCAAACCGTCTGGAATATTTCGAGCCTTCAACTATGTGTGGTTAATCATTCACACAAACACATTGTCATGGGACCATACAGAAGTGAATTTTCGTGTTCATTAGATGCGCATAAACACCGCATTAGTTTCAGGCATGCGACTTTTGTTTATAATGGGTTGAATGGTTCAGTTAAAAGAAGTAAAACACTTACACTGAATGCTATGAAAAAATGATCAATCTCACGGCGATATCCAAGAAGTTTGAGTAACCCGAGAACGAGAACTGGAAGTGCTCCAAGCAGTCTGAAAAGCAATAATTTATATGGGCTTAATTAACACTGTTACTAAAGTTTCGTTTTTAAATCGGGCATAAAATCATGTCAGGAATGGTAAATATTCTGTGGATGCTACCCTGACATTCATGCACAAATCAGCATGTTATATTAGGAAAATATTTTCTTCAGTGAATAGCTACTATGAAACTGTCGCGAAACACAACATGTAACACGATAACCCGCTGATTGCTATTTTCAGGTAAATTTTCCCGAATAATTTCTTTCTGAATATTTCCATGCCTCTTGTCAATAATTATTCATTCAGTCATTAGACAGACAGCGGGATAAAGTGGGATTAGAAAGGCGGATACTTTCAGGAATCTAATCTTCAATAAATTATAATATCAATTGATGGATTACGTTTGAAACCTAAGATATAAAGCTAACTCTATGTGTAAATGTACTGGCTGGAAACATCACAAAATCAACTCACATGAGGACAATAGTCAACCAGCTGTGTGCTGTGATCCATAAACAAAGTGCTTTTCTATAGCAGTGAGGGAATTATTTCACCAAAATGGTGGTAAAATTTAGTCTTACATTTTGTTCACCATTACAACCATGGTGAATGTCACCAAGAGCATCACGAATGTATCAATTAACATTTTTGGTGAGCAATTTGAGAAGAATACATCGATTGCTTACCCATACGAAGAAGTGTAACAGGCTACCTGGTCTCATACTCAAATGTAAATTTTTTAATTGGTTAAATCGCAGAGTTTCTCCCGACATTTTGTGATCTGTAGAATGGCGAAGAAAACACAATATTTCGGAAAATACAAATGCGAAAATAGTTATTCTTTAAACGATATTATATGTGCAGGTGGAAAACTGATCCTGATCTATGCGTCTCTGCTGTTCAATATCCATCACCTTTAATTTTTATCAGCGATATTTGCTGGATTTGTGTGAATACCTTTATTAATAACTGGACATTACACTCGGATAACTCAAACGACAACCACAGGAAAATATATGGATTGATCATCGTGATGTCACCAACCGTAGCCAAAGCTCTAATGCAGTGGAAACTGATCTCGTCCAGGATTATGACAACAATATTCAACTCACATTGAAAGTAGGTAAAATTCATCCAATGTTACACACTTACAAACAACTCAGAATAAGAAAAGAAGGATGGCTTTCACAGACAACTCCAAGCAATCATGGAAAGCATCCCAAATGGCAACACTTAATTCCTAAGAAGTGATATGAATGTCATCTGAACTTGGAGCGGACAGTGCTTGAATACGACTCTTCACGTGTCAGGAGGCTCTCGAGGAATGTCGAGAAAAGAATGACAATGAAGGACTCCTCACTGAATTATGTGCTTTCAGTGACTGGGTATAAAAGCATAAGGATATACACAAAACAACATGGATTTCATCTGATGAACACAAAAAAAATCAAACGGTCTCCACCTCAATGGTCTCAAATAAAGTGAAGAAGCAGTCGACTGGGCGAAGAATTCAGAAGGTCAGCATATATTGACCATGACAGCTCTTGAGTGCAATTCGAGTGATGAATGATGAGTTCGGCATCCAGGGTTTAAATGAAGGAGACAATGAATGGAGGGGATGAAAGGCTATGGGCATTCATGAGGTCGGCTCAAGACGACAGCAGAAAATTTGACAAAATGGAGTTGTTCTATTGAAGCCCTTTTCCAACTCGGAAGCCGTGGGAACAATAATATATAATTATATGAAAACTGATATTCAGTTAGATGTTCATTTTTGAGATATGCTTTTTTTCTGAATCGTGTAAGATTCAATTGGTTCTCAACAGATGTCTCGTATATTCCTGGCGGACGTATTGAATTCGAGGGAAATTGTGTTTGGCTTATTGCGCGGAATAATACTATGTTAGTTGTGACAGCAACATAATTGTGTGTAAAAACTAGGAGCTGTTGTTGTATTTGATCTGTTATCCTTTCACGATTATGCAGAGCTCTAGATATGACAACTACGCTATTCGAATACTAAAAAGCAAGTATTCGTGTAGTTGCAAATGAAGCCTATGTTTAACACAAAATTTGTATTTATTTGACTAACTGAACTTCTGTTTTGTTCCAAGTGCTTATAGCAAACTTGTATATGGCTTGCAGCATGAAATATTACTTCATTCAGAGGAGGATTCAGAGGTTTAGTAGCCTTGATAACTGTGTACAGACAAAGTTACTCTTTTTCCTCATCGCTCTGGATGTTGCTGAGGATTACATCAAGGTTCCACTAAAATGTCTTATTTGTGACGACTTGAGTATGCGCCATTTTCGGTCACTTAGTATCCTCTTTCCTCAGACGCTTCAGTGCTTAGTCGTTTGTTTTGCATAAGAAGCTGCTGTTTTGTAGAGGATGTTCAATGAAAGAAAAAAGCTCTTTCATACAACAACATCTGCATCAATCAGTTTTCTGTCTAGAATCTAGAATATTCACCACTGATGCTCATGGGCATGGACAGCAGATAATGTGCAGAGTGCATACAACTACATGTATATTATAGGCAACATAAATCAAGTTTATGAATACGCAAATCTCACTAATTAAAACTGAAACTTATAACAAAACTGTCACACACAACTTACTTATCACGCTTTCAATCTTCTTATTCTCATAAATCAACAAGTCAGTGAACATTTATGTGGTATAGTTTCGTTATTATTTTGTTTTCAGTTTAATATTGGAAATACTTGGACCTTGATCTTGACAAAGAAATAAATAAACATTTTATGTGTTCTTGTTCAATATGAAAACATCAATGAAATTCAGCCAAGTGTGCCTTTCATGAGGTATTTTTAACTAGTGGTTGTTTTACTGTTAGAAATATTGATCTTACCTTTCTCAACGAATGAAGAGGATTTGATGGCGTTAATCTTATTTCGACTATACTTTTATTCCTTGTATGACTTTAAGTGCTACTATTTTCCTTTGACTGATTCTATAGATTAGAGTTTTAATCGATAAAACAGTGAATCAGTTTCTGAAAGGGATATTTGTGAGATCCATTGCCATCACAAGGCCAAATATGAGCACTAACCTTACTGAATATCTTCGCAAAAAACATCAGTGAACGATTATTTTAAATTGGGCAATAAGACACGAGTATTGTTGTTTGCTAAGCTATCCTGGTGGCAAATCATTATTAATGCATATGAAATATGCGGAATATTTAGTTTATACAGATAAAATGAACAACATTCAGCTCACAGTATTCACTGATTTTTCGCAACATAAACTTATGATGGGTCTATATTTTGAAGTTCCAAATATAACCTAATAACACTCATGAATTCGGGATTTCACTGAAATATTATTTTTGGACTACAGAATACGTCAGCATGGACTTACAAACTGTTCCGAATAAATTAATCCCATAGTACTGGAATTATAATAGCTGTTATTTACATGAGATTTGTCAGATGTAAGGGAGCAGAAGATATCATGTGTATGCTGACACATATGTGTTTTCACATATTTCTGTGATTTGGTTGTAATCTGAAGTTCACGTGTTGTGATTTGAACAGTGTAAAGAATAACTCAAGTGATTATCCAAGTATGCAATATTGGGAAGACTGCATAAGTTAGAATAGTGCAGAAATTAGGGAGTCGTAGAACTTAAAAGATCAGATTTGCTATCAGCAATTTCCTCCTCACTTAGAGTATGTAATGATCAAGCAAACTAAAATGAGTGAATACCGTGGCATTTCTAAATGACTGTATCTGAAGCTAGGACAAATAGCAGTGACATATTATTTAGTTAGAACTTAGCATTAAACGAAAGTAATTGACTGACTGAAAATTGCATTAGTGCAGACAATCAAGGCTGAAAAATAACAAATTAATCGTCTTTTGACATCTTTGATTTCTAGTTATTGATCCAGATATTTCGCTCAACTTGACTCACATAAGAAGTAGCTCATCGATGTCAAGAACTGCAGAATATGATGTCTTTCTCTGTTATGCAGTATCTATCGTCACGGTATATTTTGAAATACGACTGATTTCATAAAATCTGTAGAATAATGAAAAAAGGCGATAGATGTAAGCAGACTAGTGGAAGTTTCTTACTTCGTGAAGTATTTGTTCTTGAGCATTTGTTCATGACATTTGGTAGCGAAATGAGAAAGAAATCGTGGAATATATATTTAATCTTACGTTAAGCAGTTCATAGCAAAAAGAAGAAACGATGACTTGGAATACCAACAGTAGTATCAAAGTTATAAGTCAGGCAAGAATTTTCTTTAAAATGAATTAATCAACTATGCTTAGAATATATAAATAAAACAACGAATAATAATTATAATATAGAGGAAATTAACAACACACAAATGCAATAAACCCTTCATGTCGCTAATGGACCATGATAGGAAAACTGTCAATCTTCTTTGATGCTTAATGATTACGCTCATATGCTAGTGTTCAAACGTTACTGCTGAAAGCTGAGAAACCAATGAATCAATAGAATCTATTAGCTTGCTTATGTAACTTGCATAATGAAATATAAAAATTGACAGAAAGCAGGACGATTTATCCCTACACTCCGTACCATATCTCCTTATTCGCTGATTACTGCAGCACCTAATTAGAGTGGAGAATTTCACTTCCTTTAGGGCTCGTGACTTCACTTTCATCATTTTCATGATTCCTTGTGTTAAACATGCATTCTTCTTACTTACACAAGCCTAATATCTATGCTTTCGTGGTGATTGATTAAAATGTTAATTGTAACAATAATTATTGTTTTTCAATGCTGGTATTCCTTATGAACCTGTGAGTACTATTTGAATAAAATGATAAGGATTATTGCTGGTGATGTTCTTTACTCCAACACTCAAAATGACATTTTGTGTTGCCCAATCCATTTAAATATTTTCAATTTTTTGCCTTAGCATCTTTTACTATACTCGGTAGTTGCCAATTTGGCGTTTTGCTGAAGATTGACATTACAATATTCCTTTTTATTTGATCGCATGAATTCAGGAGATCTAGTGACGATTATTTTCTTTTTCATCCCGAAAATATTGAAAGGGAATGTAGCACTGGTATTCTCAGTTGTATCGATAACTTGACCGGTTGTTGAAACAGTGTATCAATCCAAATGTCATATAAATTAATAAACACTAATTATGTTGCTGTTGTCACCTGACGTACTGTAGTACTTCAATAACTCAAATGGAATTTCAGAAATCTAATCTCTGTATTCTTTAAATTGTATATGTTCACACTCGATTTCATGGAGAAGAAACAACAATATCATCCAGGAAAACGTTATATATCACTGTGGAATGTGTGGTTATATACACTGATACGGAATTTCACGCTACAGCAGTGTTAAAGCTTAGTATATATGTGATTCTTCCATATGGCCGTTAAGCTGGACTAGTGAAATTATTGCGAACTAAGGCAAAATGTTTGGTTCGTTGATATTCCATTGTTCAAATGCTGAAAGATGGAAAACACTTAAGACTGTGACTTGGAGTACAATTCCAGGAAAATAATGTATTCTCGCAAAAGAACAAGGATAAGTTAGTATTTACTGATATTACCTCAAGAAAAATTCATTTCAAAGCAATCACGTATTCTTTGTTGATGCATTTTAACCGACTTATAACCGCTTATTTAGGTAGTAAATATATTTTTCCTGATATGTGATAATAGTTTCAATTCAGTTTTATTGTGTTAAACCTGATATAACAGACCTATTCATCGGAAACTGGCTATCGAATTGACACTAATCAAAAAAGTTGTAGCTACTGAGACATCTGAGAATTCTCGTAGTAATAGGGATTCGATAATTTCCCAGGATATCTGGAAATTCTGCTACCTATGCGGTGCATAGGAAAGTATAAGCAGATCTACCGATTCCAGAAACGTTCTTTTCGTTTCTAGAAAATATGTGAAGCGTCATTCATTTTGTTATAAAACATCCGTTAAAATGCCATGAATTACTGATAAAACTACTTGTCAAGCAATCGGTCGCAAATTGTTATGAAATCCTTATTCGACAGCACAGTTTTTTCAGTGATGGGGAAAGGATTTGCGGTGAATGTGTAAGACTTAGACACCATGATATTCCTATGGTACGTTCGGATGATATTTTGATGTTTCAGGATGTTACTAATAAACACTGAACATTTGAAAAAAGTTTAGTAATTGCAACGAACCAGTGTATTGACTAGTACAGATACCAAGCAGCATTTTATTGCTTCTCACTAATTCACTCTAGTTTGGGGAAATGAAACTAATGATATTTTCACTTAGACGGTAATATTCTAAATTATCTTGTCAGTTGATTATAATTATTCCTTATCTTTTCTCAAAAGTCTTAGATTTTTCCACTTAAAAACTTTTACTTGAAATATTCATGAGAACTCAGTGTTCAGGTTAATAAATAATCGCAATCGTTTTACTTCAAAATGTCGTTTCCAGAATATTTGCAAGATGTCAGGCGGTGTTATCTGCTGCTGTGTGTTTGATAAGTTGACACTTATTGACTACTCTAAACTGCTGAAGCGTCGGTGGCACAGAGGTTAGCATGCTCGCCAACCATGCACATGGTCCCGGGTTCGATCACCGGTCGACGCACTCCTTTACCTCACTTATCCAGGAATAAGACTGTTGAAAAGGGAAGGTTGGGCATGAGGCTAGCAAGCCCATCCTGTAAAAATAAACATTGCTACAGAAACTTCAAGCCTCTAGCTTGAGGCCCTTTGTTCCACTCGGAACCTGAAGGAACTAAAAAAAATTGCTGAAATTCATATCAGAATCGCAGCATGCGTGATAAATTTGTTATCATATTTTATTTATATGCAGTATTTATTTAGTTCAACATTGTAAACGGAAGGTTGTTATGGCTGGAATTCTGTACATTTATGTTGTCATCCTATTGTTTTTCATTCGTCAGCTCCCAGTGCTTCTTGTTGACTGGTTGAAATTTTTCGGGCGTAATTCGAGATTTCTCGTAACGCCAACTCTAGTTCACACATGGTAACAGTAGAATATTTGACGATTTACATTTAAACTTTCAAATCCTTTTATCACATATCGCTGCACATTTTGAATTCCCTTATTATTAACATTAATACTACTAGTATTATGAATAATTTCAGCTTTTATGTGCACATCGATGTCCTCCTAATGACAAATCACAATGATGAGTTTATACCTTATGTTTATTTGTAAGGCTCTGTATCTTGTTCGCTTACATTTGTTCTTCTAATTTTCACGATAGAAACATTTGTTATCATGGGGTATCTAATCAAAAATATTTATTCAATGAATCTGGCCATTTTATTTACATTTCAAACTTTCCACATAAGAATGAATGTTAAGACACCTCGAAATATTTTCACCAAAAATAAGAATTTCTTTTCAATTTTTAATCACACTGACAAATTTGTTAATAGTCCGTATTACCTCGTATATGTTTATATTTTCATTTCATCTTCTACTCTCTTGTCGTTCAAATCATCATCTCATTCCTTGATTTCTTCTTCACACAACCTCTCTATCAAACGTTCAACTCACTTTTTCTCATTCTGGTTCCATCAGCTCACTCTCATTTAACAGTTGTCTCAGTGTGTGACGTTCAGTCTTCGTTTCCCAAGGTAGGAAACAGTTTCTTGTTTGGTGCGTCGTTACCAGAGTTGCTAATTCGTACCTGCTGCCAGTCTGATCTTCACTAATTAGCTTGTCTAGATAATAACAGCCTGTAGACTGTAAGGCATGTTTCTAGTGACGGA